CTGCACAAACCTTTTCCCCAAAATGAAAATCTGTCTGAGGGCTGCAGCCAAACACAACATATAATTTGTGAAATACAAATACCTCCTCTACTTTTGAATACAGTATCAGAATTTCTCATTCAACCATAATTAAATTCACTATCTAGGAGGCACAATTTATATGGACAGTATTTATTTTTTACAATAACAAGCTGGAATGAAAATAAGAAAAAATTAAATAAAACTAACAACTTTCTATTTCTTGCCTTTTTTAAAATTAAGGGTAACAAAGTACAGATAATTGTTTGAAAATGTAAGAAGTAAAAGTAAAACGTAGGCTGAAAAATAATTACTCAAGTAAAGTACAGATACCCAAACATTACATTTAAGTACCGTAAAGAAGTATTTGTACTTAGTTACTTTACAACTCTGCAAGCACCCATACGCAAGGTAACACTTTAACTCTATTTATTATGACTTTGATCACTCACTTCATTTATTTTGTCAAACAGTAACTGTTCTTGTTCCAAAATTGAACTTTGAAACACAATAGAAATAATTAAAGCATTTTGAGAAGGCAGATTTTAATTTTATCAAAAACATTTTCCTAAACAGAAAACTAGCAGTGTGAAAAAACAGCAGCAGAACTTCACATTTTCCCAGAAACTGTTAATTTTATACCAAATAGAACATTCCCAGAAAGTAACATATGGAACTTGCTTCTGCTTGTGTGACATTTAAAGATGCTTGAACTTCTTGCAGGCCTCTCTGATGGTGCCATTGGAGACTGGACTCGGGCTTAGGTCTTCTGCTGCATCATCTGGTTGAGGGACAGGATCTGGCACAGCAACCAGAGGCACGTTATACCTGAAATCCAAAAATGCATGAAATGTTAAAACAAAGGCAAAAATAAAGGAAGTTYCAAAAAAACTTAAACTACTGTAAGTGTTATTGTTTTTTTAAAGTATACAACACCAACCTGCAAAATGGCAAAGACGGTTCCACCCTCCAAATGTCCTTATGAAGATCAGCAGTGGTGTTTTCATTCCAGTCGTCAGGATGTCGTGGGTCAAAAGCCAGGCTGTTCAACGTTTTCCAGGAGACCTTCTCCATGCTGTTCTCATGCCTTAAACGACGCCTGCATGAAAATGTCATTTATGTCATCAATAAGTTCACACAAATATGTTAAAACAGAAGTCTATCAAAAATAATGACTGAGAAATATACAAGAGATTAAATATGTAGAAAATATTAAAAACATGAAATAGTTCATTTGTCATTTTTTGTTATCAAGAGTGATTTTATTATTACAGTTTGTGATAGAGTTTCTGACTTCAAATCGCTTGTTTGGGTATTTGTGTTGTAAATATAATATCAAATAGATTATAAATAACTGATTATTCAATTTCATTACAACCATAATGAATTTGTCATTATTTAAAAAATAGACAGGTAAGATATATTGCTTTTAATAAATATAATTTTTATACACATCAAATTTTCCATCAAATGCAGTCTGAGCTGTAGCAAATACATTAGCAAAACCTATATAATGAAAATTTCCTATAAAAGCTTATGAATGTATCTCTTGGGACAATACTTATTTTTACACATCACAACATCGACAATTTTCTCAGCTTTTATTTAAGCCATAGCTTACACAAATAGGATAAGAAATAAAGACGTTATAAACTTTTATGTGAGAGATTGACGCTAATCCTATAGTATGGTTTTGTTTACTTGACTGTGAATAGTAATTGCTTGTACTAAGACCCAACGCTTGCTTTAGCAGCTAATAGACGATGTTAAAACCGGTAACAATAACCAAATCAGTCTAAAGTTCAGATAGATTTGGCACTTGGACTTTCACTCTGATGCTTGAGTCAAAAGATTGATGAAAACAAGACAAGAAAAAACTAACTTACCCTGCTGGGCATGATCTCGCCGACTTCAAATGTCCTTTTTTCGGCGATYGTCTTTTTTGACACGGTGTCCCCCCTCGACAGTTGCCTCACAATGACGTCACAATGGCAGCTCACTTTTCAGGGATTTTGTCCATGGTTGTCGTCAATTTTCCRAAACCATGCATCAACATTAAAACTCGCCTTCATCTGACCCCCGCTTCAGAATATGGGTGGAATCAGCATTTCGGCATCCAATCAAAACGTTCGTTTCATGCGTGCTTTGCGTGATGACGTAATTTGGCAAATGGTCCATTAAGCACTCCTTAGGTTTAGCTATAATGAACCAGAGCAGCACCTAAAACATGCAGGACACTGGCCCTTGAGAACTAACTTTGGACACCACTGCTTTAGACTAATCACAATGCAAGATAGACATCACAGCTAATCAGTATTAGCAAACATGATAATTCCTTAACTGAGACAACTTTACTGAAACTGCTAAAATTTGGTGCCATTGAAGCTGAGAGTCATTCAAAGCACATCTATTATATCATGAGGGAAATGAGAGTAGTGGGCTAGATATAACTTCAAAATGTACCTTTGGTAGATTAAAAATCTAACCTATTTAGATCGTCTGGCACCAATATGTGGTTGTGGAGGGATGAATGACTCCCAGGACGAAAGTGGGTCAGGCCAGACTTGAATTCCAGAGTCCCATAGTTGATGACGGAAGAGGTATGATTTTCCATGGCAGGAGAATATGCTGTATTAAATAAAAAATACAGAGAAAGGTTAGTCTAATATATGGTTCAGTTCATTCATGCCATGAAGGTAAAATTGGTAAAWTTTACTTCTGTGCCAGTTAAAACACAGTAAAACCAGTCGAGTGTGGGAGTTAAAGATGTAGGAGAAAAAAGTGTACTCTCTGTGTGTTTGTAAAAACTTGAGGTTAGACATCAATAACTTTAGAACTTAGTAAATGTCTTACTCTATTTTTAAGACCTTCAACTTACAACCCTAGGTCAAAGATTCCACCATGCCCGTTCATCCGTCTGTCTGTTTTTTTTCCGCTTATCCGGGGTCGGGTCTCGGGGGCAGCAGCCTAAGCAGAGAGACCCAGAGTTCCCTCTCCCCAGCCACTTGGGCCAGCTTGTCTGGGGGAATCCCAAGGTGTTCCCAGGTCCCATAGTCCCTCCAGCGTGTCCTGGGTCTTCCTCTGTGCCTCCTCCCAGTGGGACTTGCTCGGAAAACCTCAACAGGGAAGTGTCCAAGAGGCATCCTAACCAGATGCCCGAGCCACCTCAACTGGTCCATTTCGACGTGGAGGTGCAGTGGCTCTACTCTGAGCCCCTCCCAGATGACCAAACTTCTCACCCTATCTCTGAGGGAGAGCCCAGACACCCTGCAGAGGAAACTCATTTTGGCCGCTTGTATCCACGTTCTTGTTCTTTCACTCCGCAGGGTGTCTGGACTTTCAGAGTCTCCTAACACAGAAGAGCTTTCTCTTCAATTCTCTTCAAAATATGGAGCTAAATTGGGGTCATATGTTTTGACATCCAGGAATCGMTGGAGCTCCGTACAGCCAGCTATCAACCTGTCCCTGCCTACAGGGCTTGATCTGCGGCCAAGTTTGGCCAAAACTGTCCCCTATTGCTTCTTGGGCTTATATCTCAAAAATTACCGAACGGATTTCTATGAAATGTTCAGGGAATGTTTATTACACTTCCACGAAATGTTCAATACACCACAGAGAACAGAAGATTAAAGTTAAAATCATTTCAGAGTGCRTGCACCGCTCTGATCTGATCCAAGAACCACTGGAGAAACTCCGAGCTGCTGCTCTGAAGTGGTTCTTAGGAGCAGCGCATGCGCTCGGGCTCAGAAATGTTTTAAAATTATTAATCTTCTGTTCTCTGTCAGATAAATCAGATAGTTTTTTTCCCCAGTGAGAGTATAGGGAGTAACAAAACATACAGTGTGAGGAGAGTAGTGAATTATTTCTAAAGATAAAAACAAATTTATCTGATTCATATGGCAAAAATGTGTGAGTAATTTATATTAGATACTGATGTAAATAAAAAAGTTTGTCATTGTGTCACAGTTCTTTTCTTTAGTAGTATTTGATTTTTTATTGTTGTAGTGTGACAGAAAGTTCTACACCCAAAGATTTACTTATTTAAATGTACTGTCTGTTAATTATTGATGACAACATTAAATGTGCTGYAAGACGGAGCAACACAGCTGATCGACATCATTTTAAACTGACCTATGTTTTGTTAAAATATTATTCTGATCAAATACAAGACTGAAAAAACTACAGTGTGTGTTATCATGAGGCTCACAAGCACCTGATCCATAAATATTGGTGGGCTTTCCCAGCTTTAGATGAAYCACGTCTGATGTAGTCTTCAAAATCTCCACAGCTTCTTCATGAGAAACTCCATCCAGACTGCAGTTATTCACCTGCACAGACAAAAGTGTCTCTTTAATTTGTCTGAAATTCTTCAATAAACAAGTTGGTTGTGTTCCTTGTCTCCTAAAGTATGGATTAAAYAGATATTGTGTTGAGAACACAACTAAAAGGAAAATAATTTAATGAAGTAAAACGAATTATCTTAAAAGAAAAAAAATCTGAACTCTAATCCAGCTCCATCCATCAGCCAGATAGGTCTCAGTGCCARGAGGAGCATTATAGTTTTCACCATGATGCTCCACTTGATATTTAATTAAACATTATCAGTAATTCTTTTGGGATTTTTTGATATAATGGACACAGAGACAGACGCATGTTTGTAGAGCATCACTATTAAGAATGTTTAATAGTGATTGTGGAGACCTACAAATCTGACCACTGAGGCAGACATGAAGAAGATCAGAGCCACAGGTGCTGAGAGGCCCCACAAGCGCAGAGACCCAAGGGGTGCCAAAACAGCAGCAACAGCATGCCCATCCCCCAGAGTGCTCAGAATGWATTTGACTGACATRTTTTTCTCCAGTCAGTTGGTTATTTTATTGTTTAGTTATATCCTGCAGATGTCATTACATCTTCACCAATCCAGATTAGATGTTTCATCAGCAGCGGTAACCAGTTGTGAGTGTCATAGTGTGTGTAGTTCTTAAACAAGTGAGCTCACCATTATTAACCTGTCCCCAACATGCAGGCGTCCATCTTTCTGTGCAGCTCCTCCATCAATTATTTTGGTWATGTATATGCTGTTATCACCAGAAATGTGCTGATTTCCAACTCCCCCCACAATGCTGAAGCCAAGTCCTGTGTGGTGGGAGGGGGGCAGTTAGTTTCAACAGTATCAATAGTGATTAATGAACACTACATGAATTTATATATTCCATTATATCAAATTAACATATCCTGAAATKAATTCTTGGTCAGAAGATATCTTATGTCCTGCCTGAAGTATGTTTTGTGAAAGAGCCAATGAAGTCCTGATGACTATATAAATGAAAGTAAAATGTGAAAAAAGTGAAATTACATTTTGCTATGCAAATGTTGACAGAGCATTGTATAAAAAACCCACCTTTTGTTCCTTTGACAAGTTTGATATCAAAGATGGTCTCCAGCATTGGTCTGCGACGACGGACATACAAATGTACAATTGAGCCTGCAAACTTCAAGGCCTCTACTGCCTTACAGTGGGGAATGTCATACACATCTGCATCATTCACTCGCAGAATACAATCATTTACCCTGAAACAGTGATAAAAATGGTTGGTTATAATAAATGAAATAATGTTTGTTCACTATATGAATCTGCTACTTGCAGTTCTGATTTTTGTCATAGAAAAAATGTTTTGTACAGTTTCAGTCTGTGAATGACTGATCAAGACCAACATACAAAAAGTTAAAGTAGTTCAAATAAGATGTTAAGAAAGCTAGAATTATTGCCTTAAACTGATCAGATAGAATGTATCCTCAAGTACTGGTTCGAAGAAGATTGCCTACCAACTGAATTGTTTTTCAAACCAAGAACATTGTCAGAAATAAAACCATGGTTTCTGACAGATGGGTGACAATAGGAATCTAATGGTAGATAGTACTGTTATATCTGCTTGAGAGATTAGAAAATATTAATAAACTACTTTCTGTTTTGTTTAAGTTTGTTTAAGACAGTTTACGAAGGCTTAAAATGTGGTGTGACTATTAACTGGAACACATAGATAAATCTGGACATCATCAGTAAAAAAAAAGTCAAAAGCCATACTGTGTTTTCTGAAAATCTACCTCAGATGGATTTGCAACATGTCCAGGTTGTACCTCACCTCTCAAACAGTGACTGCTGTATATGGGCTACAGTGACTCTCGCAGTACAGAAAGTAGTAAAGATAATGGATGAATTGATGGACCTCAGATGGCACATGTATAGCGGAAAAAGGATCGGAGATTAGATAGGGATGTAAGACTGATTTATACTTCCAATCTCATGTCTCCCTTACAGTCCTGTGTCTCTTCTGTCTCTTAATTCCCTCTGACATCCTGTCTCGTACATTGCCTCCAGTCAGAACTGTGTTTTGCAGACTACGCAGCAATGTATGGTCTGCTCCAGGATGTCAGTTGTTACAGTAGCAAGATGGGCCGCTTCGAGGAGCAACTCATCTGGTACTATTTAGCAGGCGAACATACCACAAAAGTTCAGGTCTTCTATTCATCTCTGCAATTGGTAAGAAAAAAAATCCTAGGTCCTCTTCAGACTCCTTATCCAACAACATGAGCCTCTCTAACARCATTGGATAAATCGTCAAATAAAAATAAAAATAAAAAAACATCTATCCTGTTACCACTGTTGTTGTTTATATTCACTTCCAGTGGTGGGCAGCACTAATTCAAATTTTAGTTGCACAATTTCTAAAGCGCTAGTCAATTTATTTATGTCCTCAAGTACAAAAGCGCATATGCTCAAAGAAAAGTTAGCGGAAGCTAAATATAAAGAGCAAGATTATGTCTATTTGTCAGAAAACATTCATGTATGAGACAAGTCAGCACTTTACTGCCTTCTAGTGGAAATATAATTTTCTTTCACAGAATGGCATATGTTGTCGTAGTTTGGGGAGGCGATTTGTTGAAACAGGCTTTTAAATCATCGTGTCAAAACAAAAAAATAGTTGCGGATTGCTAGTTCTGCTGCTCCTTGGTCATCTTTTATGTTTTTGGTAAGAAAACGAATGGTAAAAAAGCATGCAGATATATTAGTAATTTTAGTAATAATTACTAGAAAGGCTGGAACAAATGAATTATAGTGCTATGGGAGAGTTGAGGGAGGAATTATGATGATTTATTTTGCACATCTTCAGCCTGACTATAAACAATAAAGACATTAAAAATAATAATAATAATAAATCACAGATTTGTTGTCTCACACATTGTTGAACTATAAAACAGCTCTTAAAGTGCTCAACAGTTAAAAAGGCACACAGAGGAGGAGGTGTTAAAGCTGTCAACTGGCAAATTGCTAAAAAAATTAGCCACAATGGCAAATGTTTTTAGAATTTAGGAGAGAAATTTGAATCAAATCTGATTTAGTCTTCGTGGTATTTCTAAGTACTGTAGTTCTCTAACTCACTACCCTAAAAAAATCATAACTTGTATTAGAGTACAAAACATTTGAGAAATTTTGTGGTAACTCAGGACAGAATATTGAAAAATTATAAACAAGGTAAAAAGAAAAAGACAAGATAAAAATAATACTAATGTGGAAGTGGCTGACCTGAGTCGTCCATCTTCTGCTGCAGGTCCTCCAGGAATGATTTTGGTTATAAAAATACCAGGGTCATCACAAATGTGTGGGCTATCAGTTCCTCCAGCAATGCTAAAACCAAATCCTGAGTTCCCCTGTAGCAAAAACAGGTGGTAATATCAGGAAGGATGAACATACTCTGTGTACAGAAATGTGTAATGGTGACAATGGTAGCACAGCTGTAATGTTAGGAGACAGCTGTAGCTACTGTAAAAGAGCTCCAAACAAGCTGATATAATGTCAACTACAAATAAAGCAACCAGTTTTATTACAAGTCCTAATGTACATGTTTGCTTTTTAACACAATGTTTCTGCAGAATATTAAATCTTCTTTTGTTGCAGATGGTCCTACACAAATACAGAATATTTTAAAGGCATTGTTGTCATGTTCAGTCTGAATTTGTTTTGAACCAAATGTCTTACTCAGTATTAATGACATTTAAAAAATAAAACTGTCAACAATAACCAAGAATCATTTTAGTATCCATTTCTGTTAATAAAACTCTCAATATTTTATGGATCAGAACACAACTACTATAACCTAAACAAAAACAAAACATGTGTTAATTACAGTTTATTACTTGGGTAGTATTGCTGAYATACTTGTTATAGTGAAATCAAAATATTTATTTGGAAAATGCTTAAAATCAAGTTTGTCAATTTCAAACAACTTTGTACACAAGCATTTTACAAGGAGGTATATGAAAAAAATTACCTGGTGTGTAAAAAATGAATAAAAATAGGATTAAGATTTGTAGGACCCTATGATTTCCACAATGCTGAAACTGCAGAAGGAATCACGGAATTAACACAAAATGGAATTAAGTATAAAATGTGGAATCTCACAGAATTTGCTCATCTGGGTGAGTTTCTGGTGTATTTTGAACAATACAATGTGTTTTGGATGCTGCTGTGCTCTGCACCTGCCATTACCTGGTTTACTTATTTAATTACTTATTCACTTTCAAGGCAACGTTTTTACCTTTATGCTTAATTTGAGTTGAAAAAATAATCAGTTGTAGTATATTATAGTTTTATAGAATCATCCTTAGACTGAAGGGCTACTAGTGGTATGACAAAATGGCTTAGGGGTACACAAGGCTAAAAAGGTTGGGAACTACTGGTCTAAAGTCCTGAAACATTCCAGCACTTTCAGGACCTTGGACAGTTCCTTCAGCTCTTTACACTATCCAATGTCCTGAATAATTTCAGCACTTTCAGGACCTTGGACAGTTCCTTCAGCTCTTTACACTGTCCATGGTCCTAAAACATTCCAGCACTTTCAGGACCTTGGACAGTTCCTTCAGCGCTTCACACTGTCCAAGGTCCTAAAATATTATAGCACTTTCAAGACCTTTGCCAGTTCCTTCAGTCCTTCACACTGTCCTAGGTCCTGAAACATTCCAGCATTTGCAGTACCTTGTACTGTTACTTCAGTCCCTCACACTGTCCAAGGCCCTGAAACTTTCCAGCAGTTTCAGGACCTTGGGCATTTCCTTCAGTTCTTCACACTGTCTAAAGTCCTGAAACATTGCAGCACTTTCAGTACCTTGGACAGCTGCTTCAGCCATTCACGTGTCCATGGTCCACTTTCTAAAGCAGTGATTCCAAACCAGCCGAGTATATTACAGGGGGTACGTGGTACCAGGTGTGTAAAATAAATACATAAAAATAAGACTGATTCTTATTTACTTTCAATTCAACATTTAAATTTTTATGTTTAATTTGAGTTTGACAGAGGGGGTTACAAAATGGCACAGGGGGCTAAAGGTTGGGAACCACTAATGTAGACTACAACATTTGCAGCTATTTCAAAGAGTTAAAATTATTTTCTTTTCTTTTGGTTGTACCAAAATGTAACAGATCCAATAATATTGTCACTGTTAAAAATATGCCCGTTTCAGCCAGTTTTGCTTGTCAAAACTAACAACAGTTTACCAAAAGCAAGAGCAACTTAAACAGTTGTAAAAAATAATAGTGATATTAAATGTAATGACTTAATTTAGTCTTTGAAAAGTAAGCAAGAAAAAGACAAATTACTGAATCAGCTACTAATAATCAGTGTTTTCATGAGATCACAAAAAAGTCTGTCATTTTCTTTGTTCTTTTTTTTAAATAAAATCAGCTTTGAAATCTGAAATACTCACCCGCTCTAAAGTGATTTCTTCAAACTCATAATCCATTTCTGTTACACTGACCTGAGGAAACAAACATTTATTGAACATTTTTGGGTTTAGAGGGTGTTTTCAGCTGCAGGAAATAGAGTTCATAAACCGAAATAGTTTTAATAAGAAAGGTAAACAGCTAAAATAAACACTTCTTATGATGCTTTATTTCTGTTATTGCACTAACATCTGTTGTGCCTTAATGATTAGCCTTACATGAGTTAAAGAGGCAACAAGTCCATGAGAAGCAAGTGCACGTTGGTGGGTTGTTAAAGGACCACGAGAGGGTGGAGCTAGAGCTCTTATATTTGAAGATAAAATTGGCAGTATATATAGAACAGCTGGAGTGTGAAGAAACCATGAGAAGGGGGTCTCTGCGGTCAGTAAGTAGGATTTTTTTATTTTGTGGGCATAGTTGACCCAATACGTGATTGGCTAGATTTACGATGGGGTAGCAGCAGGGAGAAGCTTGGTCGAATCGGGCAGGAAACACATGTTTTTCAAATATAGAGAAGAATTTTAGTCATAATTAAAACATGAAAGTGCAAGGGCCAACCCTCCCCACCCCCGAACACACCTCAAGACCTCTGCCAATCACAGATTGGACCACCTTTGCCCACAGGACAACATGTACTGCAGAGACCTCAGATGGGCGGAGTTTGCTTTAATCGTGATTGGTTAAGTTGGCCAAAATCGTGACTAGCAGAGTTAGTGTGTGGGTGGAGTTTTCCCTAACCATGATTGGTCGCATTGATTTGTTTTGTGGGGCAACTTCAATGAGAAAGTAATGGCAATAGTAACATAATATGATTTATTGTCTGTCTATGTGCAGTTTAAAACAGAACAATGACTCAGAACATGCAAACATAATTTATTGACTTCAAATTTTGTGCGGCAAGCACCTTCCTGTCTCAAGTTATGACTAATTATGGCTTGCCACATCAAATTTATTAGAGAGCAGAGAAAGGCATTGATTCATAACACCTTCCTCTTCCTCCATTTAGTTGAATGGTAGCACCTATTGTTATCCTCTTTAACAAAAGGAATTTTCTCTCTTYAAAACTTTAATGGGGCTTGTCCTAGCTTTGTCAAATTCTGAATGTTAAATAGAAATGTAAGATGGCCGCCAAAATTTATTTGACACTACATTAACTCTGCCATTTTAAAACACTTTTAGCTAAATTTTTTTGTGGTGGTAGCTAAAAAGAATCTCCATCACATACTAATGCCAAATCAAAAATTCAAGATGGCCACCTTAGCTAAAATGCAAAACAAACCATAACTAAGCTTTTGTTAGACATAATTGGCTCAACTTTGGGAAGGTAGTTCACAGTGGTCTCCAACAAACAGGAAATTCAAATATTTATTTGAATTGGATGGCATGTGGCAAGCCCTTTCATTGTCGCTCCACAAATTATTCTAGTTTTCATATTCATAACTAGATACAGCATAGCGGTAACATAATGACCCCCGCACGCACAAATGCACAAGAACTCAGAAGTCTGTATTCCTAATAAATGTCATGCTACTAGGTGCATCCCAAAATTGTAGTGGTTTGGGTGAGGGTCTTTTTTTGTGTGTGTGTGTGGGGGGGGGGGGGGGGGTTGCTTTACCTGATGGATAGCCCCTCAACAGAGCTAAACAACCATCTGAAGCTCCTATGTTTAATAGTTTTTGAGCTATAACCATTTTTGTATGTCCAGATAACCCTTTTMAGATAAACTGGGTGTCCGGGTAGAGATTTAATGTGAAATTCTTATGTAATTTTTCATATTTGATAGTTTATTGAATGCAGTGGAAAATGTTGCAACCTACCCAAAATGTACAAAAATGTTTGTTTGTTTTTTTTTACCAAGATGCTTTGGTAAGCATTTTGATAAAAAAAAAAGTCCTGAACAATTCATTGCTGGAGGCCAGAAACTTGGGGAAACCAAAGGCAGTTCAGCCCCACTGGCCATCAACTACCCTAAACATCCCATTTCAAAGCTCATTCTCAGCATAAAACTATGCTGTTGCTCACTGGTCACTGATCATCAACTCACTTTAGCCACCCCCTGCCCCCTGTGGCTGGGTAATCTTGGAACCCAGACAGAATGGACTCAAAGTCAAAGCACAAAATACAAACACGTCCAAACATAAATCCTAAATGAGATGATTGCCATGCCTTWATCACATAAAAAACTCACCAAAGGAGTTGAGTCCAAAGCTTCTGTGTTGATAATGACAGGAGCAGGGCTCCCCTAAAAAAGGAAAAAAGAAATGCTTATAGATTCTGTTGGATGAAAACACAATGGTACATGGTAACTGGCATAATGGATACCACTATTTTCATGCAGTCCTCTGACAGTTTAATTAACAAGAAAATAACATCAGGAAACAAAGTTATTTAGGTGCTTTGAAATTTTCCTTCGTTCATTTTCTTTCTCATCATTGACAGCAAGCAGAACATATCTAAAACCAAAACCTTATACAGTATCTTCCATTTTATGTCCCTCAGAACTGTGTATAGAGTCCAACTTATACTTGCAGTGAGGAAGAGCAAAGCTGTGAACTTTAGGAGCCTGAGTGGTCGGGCTGCACTCCTGCTACAATGAAACTGTCTCCCCAAAGAGCTCTGCTGAATGTTGGATTATTAACTAAGAAGATATACTTCCTTAACAAACAATTCTCCTGAGTCAGATTTCATGTTCCTGACTTAGCATCTTGCGATGAGTATAAGCTCTATTTTCTGAACATCTTCCTCCTGATTATTATTGTTTTCTTTTTTTGGCACCTCAAGCTAAAAGATGAATTAGGGTCTGTTTTTAAATCCAGTTATAAAAATCAGCTGATTCCTTTTAATTTCTACTCCAGTTTCGAACTACATCCACTGGATATTTTTTGTCAATATTTATACTGTGGATTACAATCTACCAAATTACAATATCAATTTTGTTTAGAATTTTAATAATTTGTTGTCTTTCAAATGTTAAAAGATTTGAATTTGTTGTGATAAAACAAACCACTGAACGAAAACTTCTTTATTGGGTGCCATTTGTAAAGTTACACAAGTCAAAAGTTACCAATATTTTTGCTTTATTTAGCCTTTCATAAGAAAAAAAACAGGTTAATTTTTCAAAGTCATATTTTCACCATGTTATCCATATATTTATAAATGTCATAGTTCCTAATTAAATTTTTAATTAACAAATTAAATATTTAGTTTACAAGCTAAATATTTAGGTTAAAAATAATTATTTAACCAGTAGTTTGCCAGTTCAATACCCTGTTCCATCTATCTCATTTGCTGTGACCTTGGGCAAAGACACCTCATCACTTTAATGCCTCTGATCATACAATGTGATTTAAAAAGCATTGATTAGTCTCCAGATTTGCACGTTAGCTTTGAAGAGATCTAGTAGGTCTGTGTGAATGGGTAAATAAGGACACAGATTGTAATGTGAAGTGTTTTGAGTGTCCTGGTTGGATAGAAAGGCAGTATACAAATACAGTCAATTTACATTATTATTTTAGGAATTCCTATTTCCTCTAGAATAACTTTACTAACTGAAAAACAAAAACTGAAGCAACAAAATAAAAGCAGCTCAGACACCAACCTTCAGAGGTGAGATGTGAGAATGGGATACGTAGCCATGAACTTTTTCTATTTCAGAAAGGCTCTTTTCTGACACATGAACAAGCTCAGGAGTGTGCACGTGGTTGATGAGTCCTGGAAATTCCCGATCAGGAGGAAGAGGGTCCCTTTCTTGGTCCTGAAGCTGCTGTCAGTTCAAAACATAAAGAAGAATTTTAAATGCAAACAATGTATTATGGCATTTGTACCACGAAGCACTTTGTCTTTTGTTTTTTGTAAAAGGCTATATAAACAAATGTTGAGTCATCGAATGACTATAATCTATATTTAAGTGCTTTAAATATTATTATTTACTTATTGTTTAAAAGTTTTTCACTGTTTTCTTTCAATTGCTGCTTTAGCAATTTATAAAAATATTTAAATCAAACACAAACAATCAGCATGACATGTTTTGATGAAAGAAAACATTCACAGTAAAAACCAGAGTTAAAATGTCAGTGTTAAACTTTTCAGAGTTCATTTAACTCCCCCTGGTGTCATTTTAACACTTTCTGAGTAAACTGACTTCCAGTGTTGGTGTTATTTCACAGTGTTGATTTCCTCAGTGTTGTCTCACTGGACCATGTTAAATAAACCCCACACACTGTTAAGTCTTATGCTGCGTTCACACCGAACGCGATTTCAGCTTCAAAATCGCATCCAACGTTTCAAGTTGGACGCTTGTGCAC